TAGACTTATAATAAAAAGCCTGTGTACTTTTATTTATTGGATTTAAGGATCATAACATAACTGCCACTCATCTAAGGAAACCATCTATGGGCTCTTTTGACCATTTGATATGGACATAAGTTATGAACCAGGTTCCTTGAGGGCAAAACAAACAAAGAAAAAAGATTGTGCCATTTGTTAAAGTGGTGCCAAGAATATGACATCTTCTCCCTCATCTATCATACATGGGTCACACTGCTAAAGGATAAACTGTTATGTGACCTCTTAGGTAATAATCACCACACCAGAAAGTAAAAGTGTGATACAGGCATTCAAAGGTGACAGGAATATAAAATGTTTCAAATATCTGCCCATATGAGATTTACAGACTTAAACTGATTTCAGTTACCTTAATTCATATTGTGAAGTGTCTAGAATAACTGAATTGGAGCAGATAGCCAGATAAAAATTTTTGAACGGATATCTAGTACTTTTCACAATTCCTGTCAGAAATTCAAAAAGAATTATTAGTTTAGGGGCGCCTGGGTGGCTTAGTCGGTTAAGCGTCCGACTTTCGCTTAGGTCATGATCTCGCGGTTCGTGGGTTCGAGCCCCGCGTCGGGCTCTGTGCTGACTGCCAGCTCAGAGCCTGGAGCCTGTTTCAGTCTGTGACTCCCTCTCTCTCTCTGACCCTCCCCTGCTCACGCTGTCTCTCTCTCTCTCCTAGAAATAAATAAAACATTAAAAAAAATTAAAAAAAAAAGAATTATTAGTTTATATTTTGGCCCTCTAATAAAAAGAATTGCTTTGCAAATAGAGCCTTTGCTTATTGAGAGGAACACATGTTGGCACTGATGGAGTGAGAGACTAAGATTATAAAAAGCTTGAAATATATAGTTGGCAAAGAAACTAAAATAGAATATAACTGAATGCTTTGTTCTATCACAATCCATTTGAAAATAGCATATGTGCAAGCTCAAATAAACAGCATACAAAAAAGAATAATAAAAAATTGCTGAAAATATTTCTTCATAAGATTCTTGATGGAAAAGGAAGAACATCCAAGTAAATGCTATTTTAAGGCCTTTAATTCAGATAAGAAAAATATGGAAAAGGTCTGAATTCAAGTATTATTTTCATTATAAGTAGAATATTGTAGGAGATGACAGGTAAAAGAAAACAACAACAACAACAAACAACAACAATCTTTTCCATCCTATCCAATCCTCCTGGAAGAAATTCCAGCAGCAGTCCATAAGGTAAATGGAGTGTGGAAAACCAAATCACAATTGCAGGCTTGGGAAAGAATAACACTGCTTAGAAAATGAAAGTCGATCAAGATTGGAAGCATTTCACCTGTTTTCATTTAAACCTTCAATCTTTTTTCCTTCTGGTTTAGGAAACAGAAAGCAACATAATGGGGCAGTAGGGAGTATGAATTCTAAATATTTCTAAATGGCCATATTGCCATGCTCAGTGCAATTTTCTGTGACTATAAGAAAACTAGGCATTTGGGTAATCTCCCAGTTAAAACATGTTTTACAAAACTAAAAACAATTACATTCTACCAAAGTTTTAAAAAAATCTTCCTATGATGTAAGATTTACTTTAATCAATTAAGAGAGGCTTAAAAAAACAATCACAGAATTTAAAAATGTAAAATAAACTGAAATATTACTAGACTAGTCCCCTGCTTTCAATTAAATGTGCACCCACCACATTTCAGAGAGGTAAGCCTTACTGCAATAATAAGAACCTGAAGAAAAAATATATTTATTACTTTCACTTCTCATCCAATCTGTGTCAAAATGCTCCATGGTCCTAAACACTTTTCAAGACGTCCAAACTAAATCTTTCATGTAAATTCCAAACTGCCTTATAAGCCTGTGACAAGTCCATTAATTCTGAGAAGTCAACACAATTGAAGAGTCACTGCTTTAAATTTAAGTTCAAAAGAAGTATTAATTAAATATAGCCAGAGTTTCTAAAAGGAATAGTTAGATCCCTAATACCAATTTTTAAAAAATCATTATAGTTAGAAGTGTGATACATAATTTAGATGCTTAAAACATGAGAAGTTTTGATATGTCAGTTTTGTAGCCAACAAACTATTGGATTCATGCCCTGCTGATATATAAAGTGCTAGTAGAACATAACCTCATGAGATTTTTAAAAAAGATTATTTTTCCAATATGTCAACTAGAGATGTAACTACCACCCATGAAAATAATACCTGATAGTAGCTGCTATACAATTAATTATCATACCAATCTTATAAGGTATAAGAATTTCCATTTTTAAAATTATCAGATTATCATCCCATTTTATAGAAAAGAAACATGAGCAATACAGCCTTTCACATTCAAAAACTTCTGCTCTTTACCTGTACCAAGGCCTACAGGTAAGTTTTCATAGGAATGATGGGCTGAATTGTACTATCTATGCTCTGTTACTGGACATAGCCACCTATTTATGACAAAGCTAATCTGAATTAGGTATTAGTCTGAGAATACAGGGAATGGCCTGAGAGCCCTGGCAAGTAATAGGATTGAAAACTCCCAAATCATGTTGGAAATATTAAACCTATAATAAGATACACTATGATTTTGAGTTATATAACTGCAGTTATTAGCACTGAAAACCACTAGGGGTCTACCACTATGGTTTTAACTCTGTCTCTTCATATGCCTCTGCCTGTGACCAAAGATACCAGTGGACCTCATTAGGACAGTGATTCTTGAGATGAAGAATTAAATGCGTCCCTTCCATCAAGGGACCCACCAGAAGGAGTAGAAGTACAAATCAAATTTCCTGGATGATTTTGAGAGATTTTCCTACTCCCTCTAGGAGTTATGTTTCCCTAGCCCAACATTTAAAATCCTTGGTATATAGCAAAATAATAAATAACATTTCCTGAGTGATTTATCTGAGCTAAGCATATTTTACGGACTCTATCAATCCTCACAACTAATTTGTAAACTATATTAACAGTCCTATTGTACACATGAAGAAAGTAAGGCTCAGATAATTAAGGAACTTACCCAAGGTTACATATCTAAAAAAATGATAGAGCCTTATTCTGAACCTAGAAAACCTGATTCCAAAGACAGCACACTTAATCACCACATTACACTGCGTCTCATTAGTTGGCTGAAATAATTATAAGAAAGTCATACAGTGTGAAAACACTCTTCATAATGATAGTGCAGTGACTCAACCAAAGTCTCAAGGAGGAAAATTATTTCATAAATATAGGAAAAATATAAAATAGATCTTGGCTTATAAAACTGAACTTTGGGCCTTAAGGCATACTCCTTCTCTTTCTCTTGCTGATTTTTTTCTATAATTTAAACTTTGGTTTAAACAACTGTATTAACTAGTTTGAATTGATCCCAAGTGCCAAAGTGCCACTGTTGTATAAATCATTTATTTATACTACATCCTTTTTTAAAAAGAATTTATTTATTTGTTTTAATATAATTAAATAACTTATTAATAAGAGACACCACCTATTCAAATGTTTCTAAAAACTTTTAAAGGCAAAATATCATATAAATAAAAAATTATAAGTAATATAATGACATAGATGAACCTCATAAATATAATATTGATCAAAAGTGGCCAGGTGCAAATAATACACAAGTATGATTCAATTTACATATAAAGTGCAAAAACAGGCAAACTTCTCTTAGCACTCAGGAGTATGGTTATCCCTGGAGTGGAGCACAAAGGGGTTTCTGTTTCTGGTACTGTTCTGTTTCTTGACTTGGCTGTTGGCCACATAAACGTTTCATTTGGAGAAACTCACCGAGCTTTACACCTGTTTTGTATACTTTTACACTGTTAAATTTGATGTCAAGTTTGAATTAAAAAATGTACATTAAAAGTCAGTACTTCATCCCAAACTATCATCTTGCTTATTGTAACTTAGCACTACTTTCTCACTTCCAGAAGATACAATTAATTTGTTCTGTAAAGAAAGTAAGCAGTATTTCTACATAGCATTGTGAATTACTGGGTTCCTACATATGAAATGTTTTAAAAGTCAAATTTATTGAAGTATAATTTACACATGGTAAAATTCATCCTTTTTAATGTACTGAACCATGATATTTAACAAGAACATATATTCCTGTACCCATCACCAGTGCCAAGATAGAGAACAGTTCCATTACCCTCTCCCAAAATTCCCTCATGTCACTTGCCAGGCTTACCTGGCAACACTGATTGATTTCCTGTCCCTATAGATTTGCCTTTTCCAGAATGAATACCATATAAATGGAATCATATGGTTTGTATTCTTTTAGTCCAGCTTCTTCCATTTAGTGTAATGCATTTGAGATCCAACTGTGTTCTACATGTGTCAGTAGTTTGTTCCTTCCTATTGCTGAGTAGCATTGCCATGTGTGGATATATCATAACTTAAGAACATTTGAGTAGTTTCCAGTTTTTGGTGATTTTGAGTAACACTACTGTAACCTTCATGCATAGGTTTTTGTATTAATCTGAGCTATATATTTTGGTTCTTTTTTTTATTCCAATTTGTGCTTTACCTGCACAAAATATTATTTTCTATAGTACTTTTAGTCTATGGTAATTCATAAGCCTAGAGAATATACCAACCAGCTCAAAATAATATAAGATCAAAAAATGAATCAAATTAAACAAGAAACATCTTTAAAACTAGATCAACTTTTATAACTTCCTCTCTTAAAAATGTTTCTCTTTGCAATAATCTGCAAAATTAATTTAAAATTCTCTTAAAGTTCTAGATTAATAATTTAAAACCCTGTTTAAATTTTACAAAATTGAGAAACAAGGACACCACTAATTTGGATTCAAAATCACAACGAGTAAAGAGAAAAGAGGTAAGGGATGTGGCTTGAAAAGTAGTGTTATATGCCTATTTCATAACTCCCTAAGTTAAAATATTATCAATTTCACCCAAATGGTTAGTAGTTTTTAAACATGAGAATCTGAAAAGGATTTGTGTGACAAAATGGAAACATGGTAGATGTTACCTAGCATGTTGTGGTAAAGTGGAATGGCCCGTCCAAGGATAGTAAATGCAGTCATGACTAGTGGGGCCGCTACACCTGCAGGCAATTACAGAACAGAAAACATCATTCTCCATTCACAGTGGCATGCACACACATGCACCAGTGCTCACACATGGAGCCTTGGAGGAAGAACATGGGAAGCAAGCACACCAAGTACCTATCCATCAGGCCGATGCAGTCTTCAATACTTGAGCCTATGCACCTGCAGAAGATCCAAATTTAAAAAATACAAGGAAAGTAAAATTAGTCATTTTTTTTAAAAAAGAATCAGTCAGATAAACACGAATTGTGTTAAATTCTTGATTACAGTTACTAGACAATTTTGGAACACTGTGAATTTAAAGCCAGTGAGATGATTATTGTCTGATGGGTACAGAGACATAGGTTGCAAATACCACCCTCATGGAATGAAAAGAAACATATCCACAGTAAAGGAAACTGTACCCTGTTTCTGTGGGTAACTTCGAAACACATAGAACTCACTTCTAATACTTTCAATTCATTTGCATCATTCATGAGTATATATCTTGCTGAATAACTTGATGTTTCAATGGCTATAATTGGTTTCATGTATGCAGTTTCTTCTAAAAGGACTTAAGTAAAAACTAAAATCAATAAAAACTGAAACATGAACTATTCAATATAATATAATAACCTGATGCTTAATACTCATTAAAGATTGATTATGGCATAAAATGAGTTAACATGCTTTAATGCTATTCTTATGGATACTTTACAAAATCACATTATTCCATTCCTTGGTTGTGACGGTTTTAAAACATACTTATCTTTAAACATGAATTCATTTAAAAAACAAATTAACTGGTTTTACCAATGCTGCAGTTTATCTTGACACTCTATTTTAAAAGTGCAGCGCCATAACAGGCAAACAAAAATGGGTTTTTAAACTGCCATAATATTTAACTCAAACAATAACAAATAAATACTCTCCAAGGAAATGAATACACTGAGAAGCAGGTTAACTAAAGAATTCACTGGAATTATAGAAGTACACAAAATTCTGATGTACAGTCCCTAGAATTTCATTTTAAGGTATTATGGAAATATTACTTCTTCCATCTTCTAATGTACAAATTGTATTTCTTTCCCTTTTCTCTCATCAAATACATATAGCTACAGTACATTATCAAGATTCCCTCCACAGCTATGATTTATAGGACTAATTCTGCTGGTCACAAATATTTTCTTTCAAACTCTAATTTCTAAAATTGAAAAGGAAGCTAAAGTTAAAATCCCCATATAATGAAGTAATAAGGTGCTCACATATAAGGCCAGCCTGTCTACTATATCTTTAGATAACTCTCAACATTGGTAAACTAATATAACTATGTCTAATAATAATTAAGTCAATATTTCTCTGCTCCATGAATATCTGCAATAACATTTCTACTAGGTAGAAAATTGTTTTCATTTTGAGCACCGGTTTTGAGTAGCCCAGAAAAATTTAATGTACAGAAAAATGGGGTATACACTGTGAAAAAAAGTCTTTTAAAAAGCAAATAAGAAATACAAATAAAAATATATAGCACATAGCATTGAATTGGTACTATAATGCATAACCAAAACCACTTCTTGAAATGGAAAAAGTAACTACTAAAAGTATTTTCAAATTGTCTTATATGGTATTCTTTTTATTTTATTCTGAAGTACTTATTTTTCCTAGGTTCCTATTATATCTTCTTCAAAGTGCCTTCTTATACAGTATTGCCATTTGGTAAAATTAATAGTCTACTTCTTATTTCCAAGTGAGAATCTGAAAACTATGATTAGTTTGCAATCTGTGTCTTTAAAATCATCTTTGAAAGATAAAAACGTTTGAAAATAAAATTCAACTTGAGGGTAAAGTCTGAATAATGAAAGATCTTTATTCATCCATGTAAAAAAACACATTTGCATGCCTACTAAGAGTTGCTACTCTTCTAGGAGCTGGGCAGGGGAGAGGGGAAGATGAATTAGACACTTTTCCTATTCTTAATAAGCTCACAATTTAATGTATTACAGGAGATACATGCATAATAATATGTATATTGTTTAATATGATAAATATAATAAGAGACACAAAAGAGTAGCTTAAGGGAACATAGAGGAAGGACACTTAGCTTTAGAAATTTCATGCTAATCCTCAGAGAAGTTAGGAAACTGAAGTTCAGGGTGCTGAGAACCTGGGTTGGAGTAGCAGTGATTTCTAAGGGGTAAGAAATAGCAGGAAAAAGGTATAGATCTGAGGAAATTTAGAATGCACATGAACAAGTACAAACAATTCTGAGTAGTCAGGGAGCAACAATACATGAGGTGACAGGAAGAGGGGAAAGAAGCGAGATCATTTAGGCAAGAGCCAGAACTTGAAGGCTATTTGCTTAGGGGCAAACAATGGAGAATCACTGCAGGGTTTTACAGAAGTAGTAGATTTGTTAGATTTGTGTATTACATGGATCTCTGTCCCAGGCTAGTCAGCTGGGATCCAGGTAGATTCCTTTGGCAACAAAACTGTTTTAGTATATGTGAATGATGAAAAAGGGTTACTGGGGAAATGGCAACTAAGATAGAGGCAGCTGGCCAGATTCAAGAAATGCCTTGACAGGTATTGTGGGTGGGGGTGGAGAAGAGAAGTTGATGGCTGATTTGATGACAGAAGAGGAAGGATCAGAGGAGTTAAACATATAGTACCACCAGTGAGAGAATGCAAGAGGAGAGATACCTTTTCTTGTATGTGTGTTGGGGGAGGAGGGGTTGATAATTTCAGTTTTATGGAGCTACAGTGTGTATCCAGTGTAGTTGTCCTCCGTCTGGGTAAGAAATGTTCGTCTCCAGCTGGAAAGAGAGGCCGGTGGTTGTAGGCTGTGAAGGCACCAGTGTGATGATCAGTTTGAAATAGCATATGGGAGAAAGTTGAAATCATGTAAGTGGGTAAGATAGCTGAAGAAGGATCTCTAAATTGAGAAAAGAGGAGACTGTGACGGAAGCTCAAATAACTGTGATAACTGGTAAATGACCTAAGATGAGCTCATGTGCCAGAAGCATGAGAAACTATTGAGTAAAATCAAATAATTACAGCCTCGTTGTGGGAGCTAACTTAGGAGAGACCTTCAGGAGTAATTGTCAATGTTAAGTGCAAAGAGAGATCTAATAAAATAAGAACTACTGAGAGCAGTTTAGTTGTCATTGTCAAGGTCACCAGCATTTCCACTGCTGTGAGTTGAGAAGCATATTGGACATAAGAGAATAGGAGCAAGGGGAAAGGAAGGTGAGTACTTGAGGGGGCAGGATATGGGGTCAGGAAAGTTTGTTGAGGGAACTGTTGAAGGGTATTTGAGATTTAGACATATTTAAAAGAGGAAGATGAAAGAAACAATGGAAAATGGAAATAAGAGCATGACTGAAGGATACCATCCTTTCTAAGTACAAGTCGCTGTGTATTTAAAGATCCATACTGTATTTCAACTCTTTGCACTTTACATAAGCAACTGATTAGCACATACAATTTATATTGATTCAGCAAGATCACAGAATAATGGAAGTATTAAACTTTTGAAGAGTCAAGATACCAAACATGAGACCAAAAACAGATAAGGAATAATGTAACTCTCTACAAAATTCTAACATTAACAAAATTATTCAATGAAAATTTTCAAAGATGCCTGTGAAAAACAAATATTCCAGTCCATGATTAAAACCAAAATTGCATTGGTATTTGCTATGGATTTGATGTTAGTGTGGAAACCACAGTAATTGCCCTTATAGGTATTTAATTACATACTACATTTAGTTTACAAATCTTTTTTTTAATTCTATCTTGTTAATTTCAAATATGAAGATCATTCCTAAGTTTTAAATTCTTGCTCATTATTTCAATATATGGGAAGTGTCCATAACAAAAATATATAAATTGTAAGAATGAAAGCTCACTAAACTCTGACTTACTAGTGGCCAAGAGCTATGTCTTACTCATTTCTGAAATTACCTATCACTATCTCTGATGTTCAGTTGGTGTTCAATATAACCAAGCTGAGGAATGAATAAACGAGAAAAGGCTGCTAAAATAAAAGTTCTCTAGTCAAGGCAAGAAGAGACAATGTTATTCCCCCCCCTCCCCGTTTGGGGATATTAATGAGAATCTCGTGATAGGTACTAAATGGATAATCTATTTTAAAAGTATCTGAAGAACTTATTAGAGCCAATATATTTAATGTACTTTCAGAGTAATAAAAGTGCTTTTAAGGCATTATACACATAATTTTATTTTCAGAAAATCATTGAACAGTATTCAAAGTAAGAACTTTCCTTCTAAAAAATGTGATTCGAAAGACTATTTCTATTAACTTGGTCCTTGAATTATCTAGCTGACATAATATTGGCATATAAAAGGAAAGCTGTTTTCCAAAGTGCAGTTGGCATGGTGAGCTCACACTCACAGACAGGTCAATGGTTACATGTATTTAGGAATATAAATAGTCACTCATCCCATCATCTCCACTGGCCCTGTGATCTTTCTAGAGAAAGATCCTATCTCTATATGCAATTTGAAAAGAAGGAACTAGTTGCACAGAGCACCTCATTGCTTCACTGAAGGATCTCAAAGCACAGTGCAACACAGCAGTAATATAGAGTGGGATTTAGAAATTTAGGAATTCTGGGCTTGGGACCACAAAACTCTCATGAAGTGAGTGAACCTGGACAATATGAAGGATATTAGGAAAAGGACGGCAGGAAGCTAAATGAAAAGAAATACACAAATCCTTCAGGACTAAATAAATCCTTATAATCCATTTACCTTGCAAAATCCCAGGGAATACAATATCCAAACTCTGTTTCACCATCATTCTGCAACAGTTGATTTAAAGACACTTTTCTATTAATTTGGAATTCCTATATGGTCTGGTCAGATTTGCTCCCTTTATACCTTCATCTTCCCCTTTTAGCTGACATCTGGCTTTTGTTGCTGTGGTAAATGGATCTCTTCATTGTCTCTACTTCTACTTCCCCCACTATAGATGTGTTCTTTTATTACATAATCATGATTTAAAAGGGGCTGAGAGGAAGACACACCAGCCACACATCCAGACTATGGCTCTGTGATCTCACTTTCATTTCCCTAATGGCTTCATTGTAATTAGATTTGCAAAAATAGCAAAAGGTCTCATTTTGAATGGCAACAGCTGTTGACATCAACATTATATTGAATAATTTACTGGTTTAATTTTAGCTTCAAAACAATAAAACCCTCCTGTGGATGATTACTTTAGCAGGCAAAGTTTTCTCTTTCTGTTGCTGACTCTTCTGCTCCGGTGGCATCAGTCATTTCTTCATGAAATACTCTTAACCCAAATGTGCCAAAACCTCGCAAGGGGAGAAGCTTATTCCTTCTAGTTTCCTTGAAGCAAAGAGTCCATGTGACGATTTCAGTACGCTCAGTCTATGTCCTTATGTGTAAACCAATGAGATGGTATTAGCTCTTCCAAGCTGAATTTGAATTTGAAAGGCAGAATATTACTTTACCTTTTGAGGATCTACCACGTCACAGAGTAATAAGCTGACATCTTGGCCTGCAGGAAATTGTAGCAGCATCTGCAAATTGATGTCCTCTTGGCAGAAAATGAGGTTGCTTGCTTAACTTCTTCACTATCCCCTAATAGCTAGCTCTTAATCTGGCAGAAAACATTCTTTATGGAATCTCATACTTTCTTGCCAGATATAAAGTACCCGAGATGATTCTCAGCAAGTGTATGCATTTGCAGGTGTGTGTGTGTGTGTGCACGTGTGTGCACACATGCGTGTGGGGACTCATAACAAAGAAGAGGATTTATGGACAGAAGGAGGATAGAGTATACTAAATTGTTCTCAAGTCTGAAATTAGACATCTTCTGGACGAAAGAAAAAGAAAAGCCCTTATTAAAATAGATTTGCTATCTTTTAAAAAATAGGTTCTGGGATTTCTTACATGAGTGGCATTATTTCTTTCAGTTCAGTGCTTTTCTTCTTTCTCTAATATGTCTTTGTTTTTTACATGCTTCAATAACAATATCAATTATTATTCATTTTATAATGCAACCTTTTTAAAGAAACAAAGTAGAAAACTGGGTACCCATATTTGAGTTGTCCTGTACTAGTCAAAAAATTCTAGGTTATAGGTTGACCTGTAATAAAATTACTTCACAAAATGTATTTGTGATTTTATTAATACACATATCACTAATTACCCCACCTTTTTTTTTTCTGTCATTACTATTTTGCTTATATTTTGTTGAAGGAGTAATCCAAGGCAGTATCTATAAAAAGAGAGCTATCCTCACCTTAACTTGGTTGTAAGAACAAAGAAATATAAACAGAACACTTCGGTTAAAGATTTATTAAGCACAAATCTCGTGTGATGGCTGTCTTGTCTCTTCTAAGATATCTTCAATATCAAGTAAAATTTGAAAGAATTTCTAGACTCCCTATAAAGTATACCTGCCACCAGCTTCATAAAGGAGTCAATAGAATACTTTTAGGTAAATATTTAACAGAGTATTTCAGATAGTATACATTTGATTGCATAAACCGTTTTCTTAGAAGTATTCCCCTTCAAATCAATATAGTAATACAAAGATGAATCAAGTTCTATATTAGGATGTTACATAGTTAGTAGATGATGTCAGGGGTCCACATGTGTGACGGAGTCCTTGGCCAGCAAGGATGCTTACCCTTGGGTGCAGTTTGGATGGCATGGATGGCACTCTCGATCTTGATCAGCATACTTGAAAATGAAACTGTTTGCCCCTTGTAAGCCATCTGGACATTTTTCCACACAGTTCGGGCCATCCTTAAAATGGGAGCACTTTGTGCAGTTATCGGGCCCCTAAAATGTGAAAAACAAAACATAATGGAGAAAGAAAATGGGTGCAGTTTCTTCTGGTATTCATGTGGCTTAGTTACTGAGGCTTCAGTGAGTGGCCAATCTTCCACTAGGGAACATGAAAGCAGTTTCAAACTATAGGTGGGGATGTCACTACGGCAGCTTTTCAATGTAACAACGAGATGTAAACTTTCCTCTGATTGTACTAGACTATTTGAGCAATGAATTTTAAAATTTACTATAGTTGAATTATTAGGAATTAGGTTAGGCAAATAAAAGTTAATTTCTAGGTTATATTCCATCTCAAATCAGCTTGTGATAATGTTAAAACTCTATACAAAAATCTATAGAGATTTTGGTAAATCACAATACAATGCTGAAAGCACAATAAAGGCACATTCTGATAAACAAATATCAAAACTCCATAATAGTGAAGTAGATGCATGGAAAATTTATCCACTAATAAAGGTGACCTAAATATGAGCAAAATAAATTAAAAATGGAACTAATTCACTTCATATATTTATGTTTATAATATATAACCATTTTCTAATATGTAGAATGTTACTGAGCAATATTAACATGCAAATATATTTAAATATCATTAAAAGGTAAAACATTTAAAACTCATATTAAATATAAAACAACTTTACAAAAAACAAAAAACAACAACCCTGATTTCAGTTTGGTGCTGGGAATAGTAAGCATGCAAATGTTAAGCAGTCTACCATCAAATCAAAGAAAATTGAGAATGTTTTGATTAAAAATGCTATTTTCTGGGGCACCTGAGTGGCTCAGTCGGTTAAGAGTCTTACTCTTGGTTTCAGCTCAGGTCATGATCTCCCAGTTTTTAGGGTCAAGCCCCATGTTGGGCTCTGTACTGACAGTGTAGAATTTGCTTGGGATTCTCTTTCTTTCCTTCTCTTTGTACCTCCCCTGCTCACTCTGTCTCTTTCTCAAAATAAATTAATAACCACTTTTAAAAAGTGCTATTTTCTTAAATAGTGGCAATATATTTACGCATTTATATATTATGAATAATATTACCTATAAAGTTGGCTTTTGGCCTTCCCTTTTGAACATCATATTGCCTTAAATTCCTCTTTTCTTTGACCACTTTCTGGAACTTATTCCCCTGACCCATTTCTCCCCAAAATCTGTCCACATTGTTCCAATAATTATGACAGTTCAGATTAAAACACAATTTAGATAATCTAAATGAGATATAGTAAGTATAGAGGGAGAGAACAAATTTTATTAGGGTTATAACTATAAACATTGTGAATCTGGGAGTCAAGACAAGCAGACATTGTATAGAACTATGTATTAGGCAGGGCGTGTCCATTCACAGGAGTGTATTACATCCCTCTATAGTGTTAATCTAAAAGTAGCTAGACATTACTAGTTGGAGATATAAGACATCAGGAAATCAATAAATGTAATATTTTAAAGTTTGAAGATTGAGGCTGCTAACAAAGAAAGGTAGTGTAAAGAAGAAAAAGTAACCAGGAAGAGGTTTCTGGAAATTCTGGGACTGGTGAGGTTCAATCAAGCACTATTTCACTATTTTGATGTGAGATTTAGATCTAAAAGAAAATTATCCTATGAAACCTAATCCCTATTCAACCTGAAGAGTTTGCTACTGGCAAGTTTTTATTTCCTCCCAAAAAAGAATACTTCACATGCTTCCAATTTTAACACCTGCTCATGGGTACTTAGGCACGTAATGCCATCTATTATGCAAAATCATTTACTATGCAAGTATGCTCAGTGGCATGACTTATTGTACAAGACAAGAGACAGGCTTCTTGCAGAACAGAAGAATAAAACTAACCATGAGTAAAGTAGGCATAGTAAAAATCAGAAATTAGGAATTATTTTCCTATAAAATTCTTCTAATGTAAAGTAATGTCCAGGTAAAATCAGAAGAAAAAATTATTAAACTAAAATTAAAATCATATTTAACATTTAAGTGTACTTCTAACAGATTTTTGCATGTATTTCCTTGTTTTTTAAGCGCCTCTCATCTATTTGATTGTGTGATGATACAAAACACAATGTTCTAAGCTGACATACAAAAAAAAGCTCCTGAAAAATCTCACAAGAAATGAAATATACTAATTCTCCAACTTATTTCCATAAAAAAGATTTAAAGAAATATGCATGTCTAATGCTTACTCTTCTATCATTATATTCCCAAAGCTTTTAAGAACCTAAGTTCAGTGAATGAGCTGATAAATGCAATGATAAAAAACAGAGGTGAAAGCAATATTGTTCCTTGTCTCTGATTTTAAGCTACCTTTAGACTCCAATATCTAGGCAGGAAACTAAAGGATAAGCTAAATCCTGATAGAAATATTACATTTTTTTCTCAGTAACAATTGATGTTTTTCTTTGGTAACTACTGTAAAAGATAATGCTAATATTCACCAGTATCATTTCTCTTCCAGTCCTAGCTACATGGAAGACTGGAATTCCCCTCCCAACATAGATGAGGTATGTTTTCTTCTGGACCATGAAATTAAGTAGAAGTAATTTATGAGACTGCCAGGGCTAACCTCTCCAGCCTTCTCTTTCCCTGCTGCCATGATGTAGGGATCCCATGCAAATGTGGAGATACCATAAATTCAAGGCATCTTCAAATGCTAGACCATCACAGGGAGGAGAGCTAACCTGTAGTGCACTCTACATGAAAAAGATTCAAATGTTTTCCTATAAGCTACTCTAATACAGGGGGTATTTGTTATGGCAGCACACCTTTATTGACTTTAACCACTAGTTTAGCTTTTATCATTTCTTTCCTCTATCTCTTCTCTTGCATGCCACCTCTTTGACTTATATTTTGATCTCCTACAACTCTGTCTGATTTCCCTTACTTCTCTTTCTTCTCTCATGCCCTTCCTTACCCTTACCCAATGAGGGTAGTAAAAGTGAGACAGAAAGGATAAAATTGCTAAATAAATAATAAAATGTAAAAAACACACAAAGACACACAAGGCTATAAAAACAGGGGCTCACTTTATTTCAAAGGTAGCCCTCTCAACATTATCTTGGATTTCTGTCACATTTAAATAGTATAATACCATCCCATTTTACATGTAGCTGTTATATTCTCAGGAAATATATTATCCTTATTATATTACAGAATTTTTGCCTGGGGGAAAAAGGTGAAATGAATAGAGTGTAAAATTTGGAGTCAGAGCTTCAACTGTTGAGTCCCAGCTCCACATCTTATAGATGGTTTACTCTTTGGTATACCTTTCTAATTATTGCAGGTTCAGTTTCTTTATATTTTAAATGGCAAAAGTGATAGTATGCTTCAAATATAACACTATTTGACAAATATAAATGTGTACCAATTATTAATATTAGGAAAATATGGACAGGTCAGGAAAGTGCAATTCTAACAGAATAAATCATAAGGCCAGGTGTAGGAATTCCAACCTTCTTTATGACTTCTCCTCTATCTCATAACAGTGTTAGTCTCACAGAGAAGTTTCCAGAACCTCTTGGATATCTTAAATGATAGATGTGTATTATATGGCACACAAAACACTTCTGTCTCTAGTTGTGATAATCAATATATAAACCCAGAAACAGGCAAAAACCTAGTATAAATTGTAAGAGCTGAAAGCAAGCAGCATTCTAGTGAGAACAGTTTAGGCTATTGTTTGAGCTCAGTCTTGCCAGTTTCTCAGACACCATAACGTGAATATGTGTTCTTACCTGCTAAGCATTTCAAGTTTTACTGATCAAGTGATCAAATAGGTTTTCTTGATTCCATGCTCTAATGTTCTACAAAAAGTGATTCATGTTTACTAACCTTTTCTACTTTTTGACTTCATGCCTTTCTGAATCTCTAGACATATTATTTGACAGTGCTCACACTGAGTGATAATTTTAAGTATATGGCTCAATTCTGTCATTATGAAATCAAAATGTGTTCTTTAAACACCTAATCTGTTTGTTCTTTCTTAGTTATCAAATAATTTTGAAAATGTAAAAAAATTAACTATTAGGATTTTTACACATAGTTTATAAACTGTCTCAATCTTTTGAGTAACAAAAGAATGAACAAATAAACTGTGAAAACACACAAATTGAAATAAATTAATAAACTGGTTACTTATCAGCATAATTTTATACCAAGGAGGCAGCGTGAGAAATAGAAAATCATGGGACTGGTGTTGCAGTCTCCCTTGTTATTGTAATTACACACTTTCAAAGTCTCGGTTTCTCAGAAAGACATATTGTTTTTCATTCTTTAACTTTGGTGCTTAAATACTTTAATGTTTAAAGAAGTCTTACATAGATAGCCTGACTTGCTTTAACAACCCATTTCAGAATTTTACTTCCCTATGTTTCATGTAATTCTTTACAGTATCCACATTTCTCTTTCTGTGGATCAATTGTACTTTCCACTAATATCTTTAGTAGAGAAAGAAAATAGCTGTATATGCCCTTTGCATACTTACTTGGAGATCATTTACATATTAAATTGTCTTTTAGACTTTGGTTCTTGAGGCCAAATCACACCACTTCTTTTTCTCAGAGGTCTGATTTTCCAAGTTTAATCATCCTTATGGTAGTCCTCTGAACTGTCCAAGTTTTCCACATCCTTCTTTAGATGAAGTTCCAGAACGGCTCATTGGGGCCTAATGGAAGTTTGGAGGGCTCAGTGATATCTTTTTTCTAAGCTAGTTAAGTGCTGAATAAGCACTCTAGTAGAAAAATTAGTACTATTTAAATTCCATATAAATTCTTATGGAGCAATATTGAGATATTGGCTACACCCAAATGTTGGTCCCCAAATCATCTATTGAGAAATGACTTGATACACACACAAAAAAAAAACAAACTGGAAATTTGTCTAAAGAAGGATGAATATGACACTTTGGAATGACAAACTCATATTGACCTCATTATTAAGTAAAAGCCTGAATGATGGGAAACAAAAGAGAGGTCTAAAAAGGAACTACCATTTCCTCTATATTTTGTCTATAACACTAACTTCAAACATTTAGTGCCAGCGGCGCCTGGGTGGCTCAGTCAGTTAAGTGTCCGATTTCAGCTCAGGTCATGATTCACGGTTAGTGGGTTTCAGTCCCGCATCGGGCTCTGTGCTGGCAGCTCAGAGCCCGGTGCCTGCTTCGGATTCTGTGTCTCCCTCTCTCTCTGACCCTCCTCTGCTAACACTGTCTCTTTCTCTCTCTAAAAAATATATAAAACATTTAAAAAAAAGTTAAGAAAAAAAACATCTGATGCCAGTGTATCCATCAAGACTTTACTGATCCTACAGCCCCTCCTTCCATTCTCATAGCTCAGTTTTTTCTCTGCCAAAGCATTTAATACACTGTTTGAGATTTTAGTTTGTTTGCCTTCTCCGTCTGTCTTTCACAATGTCCTTCACAATTCCATAATAGTTAAATAATTAAACACAGATATGAATGTGTTATAGTTTACCTCAAACACACCATGAATATTTACATTTGCATATCTTTGTATGCTTCCTCTTTCCAGATGCTTCTTCAAAGTATAGCTCAAATATCACTTTCCTATGGGCTTTATTGATGTCCTACTTTCCATCCCAAAGACAGACAAATTTCTCTCTATCATTTGTGTTCCTATAAAATTAACACATATTTATATTTTATCAATTATTTTGGTTCATTCTAATTGCTTATAGATCTCTTTTTCTTTTCAACACTGTGCAATTTTCAAGGGGATATTCATATTTTCTTTTTAAATACATTATCTGGGATGTAAATATTTAAGAAATTGAATTTGTAAATATTTTATCTCTACTACCAAACTGTAAGCCTCTTGAGGGTAGAATATCATACATGATTCCCCTTTGTATACTATAAACACCTGCTGAATGGATGGATAAACGATAAACCAATGACATAACAAACAGTCACACATGAAACTAAATAAGCCAACACAACCACAGATGTCTTCAAGCTTACCGGTCCATGGCACGTGAGGATGCCATCTTCCATCTTCTCACACTGGGGGTCACACTCTACACAGATGGAGCCATTCTCAAACTCTCGAAACTCACTGTGAAAACATCAGCTGCATGAGGTGGTATAAGCAAACAAGCTGTCAACTTAACAAATGAAGTAACATCTGCTAAAAGTCCTATTGGCAGAGTAAATTCTAGAGTTTGTTTCTCTATGTGCCAGGAGCATCAGAATCATTTCCCTGTACATTAAGGAATAAGTTCTCCATTAGGAAAAAAGATAAACTGCAGCCAGATGGCTCTCCTTGCCCTCCATTGGGTTCAATGATAGACTCATTCAGGAAACATCTCTCTTGTGAGAGATATTCTAGCAGTCTCAAAAAAAAAAAAAAAAAAAAAGAGAGAGAGAGAGAAGAAAAAAAAGTATGACTCTTCTGATGACACAGCAGAATTATTTTTACCTTTTTTTAAAGTAAAGCTGTGCCTGTTTGTCTCTATATAAACTGTTACTCTTGGCTGAGCTTTATTTTTTAAACTCTGAAAGAACTATTGTATTCTTCTTGTTGCTAAGTTACATGATATTCCCCATCCCTGTCCTTCAAATCCCAAGACTCTTCAATTTATTTTTGGTGAAACTTCAAAAAATGCTTTGATTTCTTTTCTTCTTTTAAAATAGCTGCCTTAGAGAATTAGAGAAAATATCTTTTTATGGCAGATTTTATATTCTTAGATTATTGATCTAATATCACATCTTTTTCAGCTTAAAATCTTTTTGAAGTAATTCTATAAAGTATAAAATACAAAATAGTTTAATGGTAACTTTCTAAAACTTTTTAATTAAAATCTAGGATTATGGTTATCCCTTCCCAAACCTAACATTTTGTGGCTATTTCAATATTAAATGTTATCAATATGTAAGTTTTCCAATCAATACCTACTGTAAAATTTTAATTTCAATAATTGGTTATCACTCATGTACAACATGTTTAAGTACCCCATCCCCACTAATGTGTGAGAGGATGAGACACTGGGTATAGTCAATTCAGAATGCCAGTTATAAGTCATTAACAAAACATGACTAAATATTTATAGCTTCTGTTATTTTGTGTCTGTGTATCATGAGCTATCATTCCATACTCAAAGCATTGCAGATCTGGCATTTAAGGATTAATTTCATGATAAATTTAAATTTATTTTTCCCTAAAGTATTCACTTATTTTCATAGTGAATTATCACATTTGGCTATTGTAAAGCCTTAATAAATGACAGAAGTCTAAACGGTGGGCTATATTTTCTGTTGGTTAAATTAAAACTATACCTACTTCAAAGCAAAATAATTAAGTTTGGGTTTTCAAAACATATGACATAAATTGATAGTTTAGCTATGTATCACTGCACATATTTAGTTACATGGATTTTCCACTTTTAAAATGAGATGTTGGTTTGCTATGAATTAAGCTTTTGATGCATTTTCTTGTGTTTAAAATCTCAATTACATAGAAACAGATTTTTTTTGGCATGTTTCATCATCAGTGATATAAAGCACTCAACAGAGGAAATCTTCAGGACATAAAGATCAAAATGACCTTGTATGGGGGAAGAGGGGATGGTACCTCAATTGTAAAGAGAATCAGAAGAATTATTTCTATAGTGAAATTATAAAATTATAAATAATAAACATGAAATTATAGCAAAACTTGCAATCATCAGCAAATTTCTGTTTTTAAGAACAGGTTTTTTGGTTACTAAAGGGTTACGTTACCGAATGAAGGTCGTGATTTTTGTGGTATTAAAACACAGGTCATGCTTTTCTTTCACTTCTTCAAAACCCCTTGCCTACGCACAGAGTTGAGGATTAAGGTGAATAAGTTATTAAAAGTCATGGAGACAAACCTAGCTGCCTTTTCTTCTGAGATTAAACATCTATTTGTATGGCTTTGGGCTCTCTTCCTTTCTGCTCTCAGAACAGATCATTCCTATGATTTTTATTATTTCTTCTTCTCTTCATCGTCACTGTCTCCATCATTGCTTTTTCTTCCCTGTTTCCTATTAATTATATTATGACTGCAAGAAATTCCCTTTCACTTGAATCTGACCTAGCAAATTAATGTCTACTGAGCGTGAGTTTTGCAGACTATGCTTTTTTGTCACTTGTTTTTGCTACTCTACGTTTCTTACAGCCATGCTGTGTGTGCTGCCTTAGCCAATCCTGTGAGCCAGAATCAATGCTTTGCAGTCAAGTCCTTCCCAAATTTCACTGGTGTTCCTTCTAGGACTTAAATCCCTTAACATCTCTAGACTTCATTTTGTAAATATCCTCTGTAAAAGGGAAAAACAGTGTTTCAGTAAGAGGTTGTGAATGTTAAATATATTTTTAAAAAATGCCTACCAAAAGCTTAGACTGGCACCCTTTCTAATGCTTCCATGTTGTTCTTAACATTTCAAAAGCATTTAACCATGTTGCCAGATAAGAACAATTTTAAGATTGCATTCCAAAGAGCTTTCTCTTTCATTTTAAATGCTTGTGCACTCTAGTTCAGAGTTGCTGAAATACAGTGTAGTCTATGACCTGGATTTGAATGTTAACAGCTAAGGATTAACTGGTTTTCTAGACCACTTCAAAAAGTCCTCTTTTGAGGATTTCTTCTTCTAATATGATAGTTAAGACTATTTTTATATAAAAATAGGTTCCCTGATTTTGGTAAATGTCACATTTGTATGTGTTTTCAGCAATTTTAAGGTAACTATTCAACCTAACCATCTAATCAGCATGAATTAATTGGCACAAAAAGGAAATGATAAGAACAATTAGGTTATTTATCCAAGATTTAAAACTAGGAAGTGATGAAGTTAGGATTTGAATTAATTCTTCCTCAAAGTCTGTTTTAACTGTCAGACAGTGTTGAAAGACTTTAGTCAGTGCCACAAGATTGGAGGTGGGAAAATCTATCATTGCATAGGCTAGCATCACATCAGACTTTTACAAGGTATTTTCACCTATTATCTTTCAAGCAAACTCTTGTATATGATTTCCTAGAGCCCTATTACTATTGCAAGTACATGAAAAACTTTATATTTCTTTAATACATTTGATTTAATGACTTGGAAAATGCTAAACTTTCAAAACAGTCTGGTAACAAACGTTGCTTATTTAGAAAACAGGCTATATTTCCGTAGCTTTCATTATTTTGCAGACACGAGAGAGAGGATGGTATATATATCTGCATATGTATCAATTTCATATTTATGATAAGTTTAAAATGAAATATTAAAGAAAAACAATAGCATATGGAAAGAGACAGGATGGAAATCAGACAGTCTGAATTCTAGTGTTGGCTTGATTCTCCAGTGTTCTGACACTGGCCAACACTTTACCAGTTTTCACTGTTTATAAGATGTTGCTGTTAGAAGACATGATTTCTACAGCCCCATTTTCTCTTAATGACTACATATATATATATATATTCAATAAGCTTACAATGTAACTACTAAATGGAATTAAAGTCTTTTAGTTACATTTGAATGGCATTAATTGCTAAACAACAAACAAGCATATTTTGATCTAAAGTATTTTATGTTCAGATCCTATCACTCTGTTATAATAATGAGAATAATAAGCATGAGTCTAATTTATTGAGAAAAGAAACACATAATTTGTTATCCATAATCAAATTTATCAGTTGATTGTACCTTACAAAATTATAAGCTGAAATTTTCATGGAAAACAATTAAATTCTTATTTTAAATTGTTTCATACTTAAACTTCTCATTTTATTTTTTTTCCCTTAAAGTTCATGAAGGGAATTGGTTTTGCTTATCTTTCAAAGAAGAGACATAACAATATTATTATGATCCATAGATTTCTATCTTTCTGATATAAAATGCAAAAGTACAATGTTTTCTCGGATAATGACAACATTTGTTTAAAAAAGGGACAATTCTATAACTGCACTGATGAAATCATAATTCATAGTTTGATTTCAGAAAAAGCAAATGTACTGCACATTAACCATTTAGAGGTCATTTAAATACCATAATATTGCATTGTAAACAACATGTAGAATTTTAAAACAATAAAAATTCGAAACTGTAAAAAAACAAAATAAAATGGGACAATTCATGAAGAAAAAGAAGAAATGAAATAAAGAACTACAAACTGCACTTTTTATAGAACTGTTGAAAATCCTTTCGGTGAGCACTGTAAGAAAATTTAAATCAGCAACAGTACTAAAAAGTGTATTATCACACTAATGAAGGACAACTGTGATGCATGAAATGATACGTTATGATAAACTGATTTTATGAGTATTTGAAATGCCATGCAACAAGATATATGCCAGGTTTTATTGTTGCCAATGTGATTATAGCACCAGAAGGAATTTAAAATACTTGATTTAAAATACTGTTTAGATTATCTTTAAAAAGTGGGAGAACACTTCCAAAAACCTCTTCAACTAGAAACTACAAAGTCAATTTTTCTACAGGGTTAAGCGGTTGTCAGAGATGCAGACACATGCATTATTTCTAGTACACAATCAAATAGACACATAACTTGAATGGGGGGAAAAAAATCAAAAGGTATATAGTAATTCCAGATGAAAACTAATAGGAAAGCATGTGAATAAAAAAGATTATTGGAACACTTGTAAGAAAAGATTAGTTGTAATAATCTCCTTCAGAAGGAAAATAAGAATATATTTTTCAATTTTGCTTAAGTTTATATAAACTGCTATAATTTATTAAGAATGATCTATTTTGGTATACTTTTTTTTTTTTTTTACAAATAGTTTATTGTCAGTTTTGGTATACTTTTTAAAAATGTGTATAATAGTCAATATATATTTGGACTTCTTTCAGATAAAAGCCTTTCCCCGTAAAACAATTCTGTATGTTGTCACCTTTATGCAACAAGAATTTCCCAGAAAAATCTTGGCCAGCACACATGTTCTGCAATTTTACGATTTTCTTATCATTGTAAGATCTGAACCAGTCAGTACCTTAAAGCTTAGGTAAAGGAGACATTGTAAGATGCCTTACCCATCGTAGAGGTTACAAGACTCTATGCAGCTCCTTCCTCTGCTGAAGCGACGGCAGGACAAGCATTGGTCTGGGCCAGGTCCCCAGCAGCCATCACTTGAACACAGATGGTTGCACACCATTCCTGCAGCAGCTAGAAAGCACACCAAATTCAAGGGAGAAACTAAACAGAAGGCTGTGTCAAAACATACCATTTTAATATGACTCTTCCTAAGTAGTGCTGTTTCTGAAGAAGTGGGATTGAAAGAGATCTGTGGCAGATAACTTTGTTTGCTTACCCAGTCACCATGACCCACCCTACTGTCACCTTCTTTCATACTGCAGAGCCTCCATCACTGTGTATGTACAGAGCCACTACATTTTTCATAAGAATGACCAAATGTCAATTGTCTACATCAAAATTCTAGGGAGGAAGGGTGAAAGAAATTAATCTTCCAGTTAAGGTAAGAAACAAACCACCTTTCTCAATCCAACTGTTTGCTCCACTAAGACACCAAAAATTTCTTCAATTCCATATGAGAGCTTCATGAAGAAATAGAACAAATAATCTTTGTATTAAAAATTTAAAAAGAGAAAGAAGAAAATACCTTTAAGGTAAGAGGGAAGAAAGAACTGGAAATAAAATATAAGTTTTTTATAGGCCTCTGCTTGCCTTTATCTTTAGCCAAAGTGGCACATGTGAGGAAAATGTTTTGCAAATATATGAAACAAACTGTAGTGGTCATTCATGAGGAGGTATAGAAAATAAAGTAATAACAATCATCTTTAGTTTTATCTGTGAATATTGGTGAGAAAGATGCCAAAGAATTTTGGGACTGTTTTAAAATTGCTACTTAAGTTTACCATCTCTCTTTCCCTTTATACTCAGTAACATTTATTCAGTATATTATTACCTATACAGAGTAACATAATTTTAGTTAAGGGATACTAGGTGTTGAATAAGAAGGGTCTATAGAGACTTCAAATGTTATTCTGAGTGTCTGAAAAGTTGATTTGAGGTATCTGAAACAAAACTCTATATTTTCATAAATATTAAGAATTTCCGAGAAGATTAAAAAAAATCAAAAACATCGTTATCTTCCCAGTAGTTGCCAAGTTTAATTATTATGGGATGTAAATTGTCATGACAAGAGCATCTGAAGTGGGTGGGGATAGCCTTGAATAGGTGAGTATAATATAAGCAAGAAACATCTGTGAAAGTTACCTTCTCTAACATACGCTTGAGAAAGTTAATTGCCAGCATCCATGATGCTGATTAGTTTCCTTTCTTTCTTTCTTTCTTTCTTTCTTTCTTTCTTTCTTTCTTTCTTTCTTTCTTTCTTTCTTTCTTTCTTTCTTTCTTCTTTCTATGTTTATTTATTTTTGAGAGAGAGACAGAGCATGAGNCTTTCTTCTTTCTATGTTTATTTATTTTTGAGAGAGAGACAGAGCATGAGTAAGGGAGAGGCAGGGAGAGAGGGAGACACAGAATTCGAAGCAGGCTCCAGGCTCTGAGCTGTCAGCACAGAGCCTGACACAGGGCTCAAACTCACTAACTGTGAGACCCTGATGTGAGCTGAAGTCGTACACTTAACTGACTGAGCCACCCAGGCACCCCATGCTGACTAGTTTTAAAACACTGAAAGAAAATAGCCCAATTCATGTATTTTTTCTCTTATATCCTACAGCTTTAAGGAGGCCGCTATGTTAAAACTATGGAAGTTTTTTTTCTCAAGACAGAATCAGACCTACTAGCAAGTCTTTTTACTTATTAACTGCTTAATTGAATAATCTCTTCCAACATTGAGACAGAAACTGTGTATGTGTGTGTGTGTGTGTGTTTGTGTCTGTGTGTCTGTGTGTATTTAGCAATTTTATTGAACAATATATTATATACAATACACTTTCTCATACATAAAGTATACAATTAGATCTTTGACATGTGCATGTAATGGTGAACCATATACACAATTAGAGCAATGAATGTGTCCATTAATTCCCAAAGAGTTCTCATGATTTATGTAATCCCTTCCTCCTGCCCTATCCCTTTCAGATTACCATTGGTTTAATATCCATTACTTTTCACTTAGAATTTTACATAAATATAAACATATAATATATAGCCTCTCTTATATACTTTCTGCATAATTATTTTGAAATCCATCCATGTTGCTGTATCAATATTCATTTATTTTTATAATTGAATATATTCTTTTGTATGTATATACAATATTTGTTAAACCATTTACCTATTGCTACATATTTAGACTGTTTCCAATTTTGTGCTACTAAAATTAAGCTCCTATAAAAATCATGCACAAATCTTTATATAGACATATATTTTCATTTCCCTTCCATAAATCCCTAGGAGTAAAATGGCTGGATAATTCGGTAGATATGAGATTAACTTTAAAAAAATAGTCAAATTGCTTCGCAAAGTAGTACTATCTTACATTCTCAATAGCAGGGAACTCAAGTCAAAAATTAAAGTTCCCCCACATCTTTGTCAATATTTGGTATGGTCAGTCTGTTTAATTTTAGTCTTCCTAAAAGGTTTGTAGTGATATTTCATTATAGCTTTTTAAAATTTTTTCTAGTGTTTATTTATTTATTTTGAGACAGATAGAGAGTGAGCAGGGGAGGGACAGAGAGAGAGGGAGACAGAAAATCCCAAGTAGGCTCCACCCTGTCAGAGTGAAGAGCTCCATGCTTGAACTCACCAACCATGAGGTTATGACTTGAGCCGAAGTCAAGAGTCAGTCACTTAACAGTCTAAGCCACCCAGGCACCCCTCATTGAAGCTCTGATTTGCTTTTCAAATTGATTAAAGATACTGAGCATCTTTTAATGTGCTTATTTGCTGTCCAATATATCCTATTTGGTTAAGTGCTACTGAATCTTCAGCTCACTTTGTATTGGATTGATTGCTTTCATACTACTTAGTATTGAGTTCTTTATATATTCGTGTCTTTTTCATTCTTTTAGCACTGTCTTTTACAAATTTATCACTTTGTTCTTCTATGAATTGTGCTTTGAGCATCATGTGTAAGAAATCTTTGTCTAATTGAAGGTAGCAAAGGTTTTCTATGATGTTTTCTTTTAGAAGTTGTATGGTATTGATTTTACATTCAGGTGTATGATCCATTTTGAGTTAGTTTGTATGTAATGGTGCTGTATTAGTCAAGGCTCTCCAGAGAAACAAAATAAATAGGATATGTATGATTTGTCATAAGGAATTGGCTTACACAGTTCTAGAGATTGAAAAGTCACAACATTTGCTCCCTGTAAGTAGAAAGGCCAGGAAAGCCTATAGTATAATTTCAGTCTCAATCCAAAGGCCTTTGAACTAGGACAAATGGTGTTAAGTGCCACCTGAGGGTGGGAGAACACCAGTGTCCTAGCTCAGAAGTCATACTTAGAGAGTGATTTCTTCCTTCTACCTTTATGCTCTATCCAGCCCTACAGTGAATTGGATGATGCCTATCTATTTTGCAGTAGATTCATTCAGTCTACAATTTCAAATGCTAATCTCATCCAAAAACCACCCTCATAGACACACCCAGAAATAATGATTAACCCCATGACCTAGTCAATTTGATACATAAAATTCACCATCACAGATACTGTATAAAGTTCTATTCTTTTTTTTTTTTTTTTTTTTTTTTTATATATCCAATATTTCCAGCACTATTTGTTAAAAACACTATGTGCTGTCATCCAGGCTTTGTTGTTCCATTTAGAGAGCACAGGCACAGTAGATTTTTCATAATTCTTATGGGTCGTTGGATTTTCAGAATGGTCAATGAGCATTAGCTTCAACTTTAAGTCACCAGCTGTGCTAGCCCCTAACAAGAGAGTCAGACTGTCCTTTGAAATTTTGAAGCTAGGCATTGATTTCTCCTCCCTAGCTATGAAATTCTAGGTAGGTTGTGTTTGAGAAACTGCTGAACTGTTTTCTTGAACATTTTACATTCTCATCAGGAGTCTAGAAATGATCCCATTTCTCTGTTATCTTCTCTAGCATTTGGTTTTGTCACTAAAACAGTTCTACCCATTCTGATAGGTATATAGTGATATCTCATTGTGGGTTTAATTTTAATTTCCATAAAATGGATAATAATATTGACATCTTTTAGTGTACTTAGTTTTGCTATTCATATATCCTCCTCAGTAAAAAGTATCTTGTCTTTGTCCATTTTAATTATATACTTTCATTGTTGAAAGTTGAGGGTTCTTTATATATTCTATCAAGTAGTCTATATCTATCTATCAATCATCTAGCTTGTCTCTCTCTTTCTCTCTCCATATGATTTAAAACAAATCAAAACCACACTGAGATACCACCTCACACCAGTCAGAGTGGCTAAAATGAGCAAATCAGAGAACTCTAGATGCTGGCGAGGATGTGGAGAAACAGGCACGCTACTACACTGTTGGTAGGAATGTAAACTGGTACAGCCCCTCTGGAAAACAGTGTGGAGGTTCCTCAAAAAATCAACAGTGGAACTCCCCTATGACCTAGCAATAGCACTGCTGGGAATTTACCCAAGGGATACAGGAGTGCTGATGCATAGGGGCACATGTACCCCAATGCTCATAGCAGCACTCTCAACAATAGCCAAAACATGGAAAGAGCCTAAGTGTCCATCAGCTGATGAATGGATCAAGATGTGGTTTATCTATATGATGGAATACTACATGGCAATGAGAAACAATGAAATCTGGCCATGTGTAGCAACATAGATGGACCTTGAGGGTGTGATGCTGAGCGAAATAAGTCAGGCAGAGAAGGACAAATATCATATATTTGCACATATAGGAGGATTAGGAGGAACTTAATGGAGGACCAAGGGGGAGAAGAAGGGGGAACTAGTTGGGGAGAGAGAGAGAGGCAAACCATGAGAGACTCTTGAATGCTGAGAACAAACTGAGGACTGATGGGTGTGCAGGGGGGAGGGGGGAGATGGGCATGGAGGAGGGCACTTGTGGGGATGAGCACTGGGTTTTATATGGAACTTGACAATAAACTACTTAAAAAATAAAATAAATAAAAATAAAAATAAATATAGTTTCTTTCAATTTGTAGCTTCCACTTTGGTATTCCCAATAAGATCCCTTTCAGAGTAATTGTTTTTAACCTTAAACTCAATTTAT